GATGCAAACTTCTGATGATTGAAAGAATTGTAATTAAAATTGTATGTCATAAAAAATTAAATAAACAGCTAAATAGCCAGAATCCTTTTTTTAGGGGGAAGTCCTCAACCCCCACTACTCTGGAAAAATCAGCTGAAATAAATGGATAAACACCTTGAAATACTCTTGGAAAAAAAGTCGCCTGCTGCAATTAAGTGTAGGCTAACAAACAATTAGATATTATTACTCCAATGTTGTGCACTACTATTTGCTCATGTGTCCCGTTACATTTGTATAAAACACATTGAACTGCTGGATACTTTTGTGAGATTATTTCAATGATAATCAAGGGAGAATTAATAACTTATGACCTGACCTAGGACTTATGACCTTATATCTTATATCACATGTATGCAAATGCATTGACACTTAGATTAGTACCTGGAAAAAAGCTAGATCAATGGCTTTTTGATTAACTTTTTCTTCTCTGTTGCAGAAGAAAAACACTGTTCTGAATTTTGCAAAATCCTTGCTGTCACACTCAGTGCTCAGTGTGTGAAGATCTCTGCTGCTTAGACAGTGACATGAGTTTTGTGCAATTTTATGGCCTTTAGCTCATCTCACTCTCCACGTTTTCCACTTTTAGAGAGCCTGCTGTGTTTCTGACAGTCCTGACACAGAGAACACAGGTTAAACCTGTCATTCAACCGTCTCTGTGCTTTGAGGAGTTACATTTTCTCTGGTCAGCTCTTGCCAGTTTGTGATTCACTGAAAGGAGGTTAAATGGACAGTTCTAAGAAAGTCTTGCATCTGCCTCGTCTCATGTCACTCTTGTTTTTTTGTTAGGGTCTTTCATTCCTTTGTGCTGCGGTTGCCATTCGTTTTGGAACGCCTCGGGATCGTCTTTTCCATTCCCAGACAGCTGGAGCGAGTTACTGACTGCTTGGCGATCGGTCCAGTGGGGGAAAAGAAGCAGATGGTTCAATTCCCATGTCACCCTGTCTGCTTGGCAGAGATGTCAGAGAGCAAGTGGAAAAGGATTTACTCGCACACAATGAAAATATATTGTATATACATGCATGTACAGATGCACTCACAACTGGGATCCAGTGCTCACACATAGTCACGCATATAAACGCAGGAAGCTTCAACACAGATTTTTTCCATTTACAATGGAGGCTTTCAGTTGTCGCTCCTGTCCAGAAACACTTAATCTGAGTAAAGCAGGAAAACAAGCCTAAGTTCAGGCCACCAAAATGAGAAAAGGAAAAAAATATTAGCCCCGGGTCCCTGTAAAAGGAATATTTCAATAATCATCTTTCACAAAAAACATGCATAAGCTCACAAAAATAAACATGTATTTCTGTATATTTCATTGTTTTGAGGCTAGAAAGTAATTGGAAGAGGCTTTGAATATTCCCAGTCTATTTCCATTTATTGTTTTCAACTCCTCCTGGTCAGTTTGGCAGCAAGTTCAGGAGGCACACAGAGACATAACTCCCCGGCTCCTTATGAGGGATCACAAGGCATTCCAATACCAGAAAAGAAAATATAACCCCTAATGGGAGTTCTGGGTCTGCCTTGAAATCCCAGCGGGAGGCGCCAAAAGGAGCTGTCTAGGAAGAAGGGACCAAGCTATCATTAGACAGTTAACTTATGACAGTAATTACATTCAAATATTGAAACTCCTAAATTATATCCATAGCACACAGAGATATATATTTCAAATGGTTGTTTCTGTTCATTATAATGGCTAACAGGTAGTAACTTTAAAAATCTTAAAATAATCTGAATATGAAATAAAATCAATAAAAAGCTATTTTGAATTGCATGCATGGACTAAAAAATAAAAATATATGGGTCATTTGTAGGTAAACCATCAAGACACAGGACAGAAGGACCCAGTATTCAAGGTGAGACTGACAGTGGGATAACTCCCAGCGTTTATCAAAAACAGAAGCGGCTTGGGCGGGGTGGAGCCCATCACTGCGAACTCTGGTTGGAGAGTCACTAACCTGGTTTAACAGTTCAGTCCATCTCCAGAATGAAACAGAATCCAGACGGTGAGCTACCAATAAGATGCGGTGGCTGCCGTCCAGAGCGTCCCAGATGCTGCAGCACTGGAGAACTTACAGCACTCCAAGTCACATCAGGGAAACAGATCAGAACAGAAAGGTTTAGAGGTCCAGAAGTCCAAAGACAGGTCAGGGATTCCGATCAGAATAGGAACAGGCTGGTCCAGCGTTCTAGGAGTCCTCAGAAAGTTAACGCTGAATGTTCAGATGGGAATAGTCAGGTTCAGTGGTTGAGAGGCAGAACAGGTCAGCATATCAGGGACACTACGGAACACTAGAAAAACACTCTCTCCACTGAGATCAGATAGGAACAGACATGCTCAGTGGATGAGAGGCATATCAAGATCAGGAAATCAGAAACACTACGGAATGCTAAAAAAATCTCTCTCCTTTGGCCCCCGAGAAGAGCACCTTAACAAGAGCAATAATCTGGCCCTGATGACTCCATTTAAGGACCTTAACCGAGCAGAGTTAGACAGGTGAATGAATGAATTTATGAATAATGAATAATTAAGCCAGTCCTCTGCTCCAAGATGATGACATAAACAACTAGAAAACTGATAGGAAGAAAAAAGCTAATGGTAGATTGTGTAATTAATTAGTATTTTATAAGCAAAAATTTAAGTATTGCTTTCAAGAATATATATTCGACCAAAGTCTGATAAAATCACATCAAAAAGAAAAGTGTTTGCATAGCTTACAAAGAGTTTATAAAGACATACCGTATTTTCACAACCATAAGGTTATGTGTGCCATTACTGTATTTAACACACACATAAGGCGCACCGGATTATAGGGCGCGGGTTTTATATACCGGTAAATATCCTCTACTACGTTTAAATACTGAGTATGTTTGTGCTTTATTCATGTATTTATTACAAAGTATTAATCAAACCAGGGAGCTGACAGCGAGACAGACACATCGCTGATGACACAGAGCGCTGTGATCACTCCTCTGAAACAGTTTATTGACGCATAAATTAACTTAAAATGCAGAAATCTGCCGGCAGAATATGTTCGCTTTTATTGTCCTGCTGCCTGCAGTTTAGATTATTTAGATGAAAAACACCTACCAGCTGCCGCGGTGAACCGCGAGGAGGCGACCCAGCCAGAGGCTGCTGTTGAATGGGATCCTACTGACAGCGCACCGCTGTATGTGGGGGTCTGAGCGGCTCGGACAGAAATAATATTGGAAGGCAGGATAGAAATCTGGATGAACTGACTGCAGTGATTAAGTTTTCAGGTGGACTTTCTCACTTAAAAACATATTAAAACTACTTTATTCCCACTGATCACAGCAAATATAGCTGCAAGGCAAAGAAAGGATAGAGTAGCTCCGCCCAACGCGCATCAGACACACTTTTGCACTAACTGGTACAAGCAGCAAAAATGAAGCAGCAGACGCGATTTTGCTGCTCTTGCTGCATCCGGTGTGTAAGCAGCATTACTTTGAACGGCCGGTTCACACCGATGTCGAGCGGTTGAAGTTCCTTTGTCAGACCTCCCGCAATAACAGCAAGCACAGCGTTCATTTTTTTCACCATGTTTTTCACATCGGCTGTGAGATGGGCACGCATGGAGTCACAGATTAACAGCGATGGTGATGAGTGGAAAAAACCACCTGGTCTCCTTACATACACCTGCCTCAGCCACTCTTTCATCATCTCCTCAATGAGGAGATGAGGAGTTCTGCATAAAGCACATACCTGTTCTTTTATACACAATCCACGCCCCCACTTCCCCCTTTAACGTTCTCATGGTGGTCTCAACAACGTCCGCAGTAACAACACACATAGGGCGCACCGCACATTTTGAGGGGAAAAAGAAAACGTTTATATGCGCCTTACAGTCGCGAAAATACGGTAGATACATAAATACATATGTGGCAATGCATCAAGTGGAAGACTATATTGTGTCACAATCTTTGTAATAGTACAAGACAATAAACTTGTTAGCCTTAAGCTTTTTAACCGTATATGAATTCATGTTGTCAATGGAGAATTACATATAAAAAAAAGCAAATAAGACTGTAAATAATTCAACCTGCCATTTTAAAAAAGGAGAATCATTCTATCAAGCAACGGGAGAGAAGGTAACCTAGAAAAGAAAAATAAGCAATAAAAAAACCAAAAGTCTACATCGGTGTAGCTTTTACCATATGGAGACAATTCATGATGGAGTGCGGCTTCAAAGCGGATGTGGATTTTGCAGGTTTTCTGTAAGTTAATCCACTATAAAAGTGAAATATATTTTGCTGTTATAATGTATTAGAAAAACAGGGCAGTGTAATCCAGAATCTACTCTGTCTTTCTGGCAGAGGCAGCCAATTTGTTTGTTAGCCTACACTTAATTGCAGAAAGCGACTTTTTCCAAGAGGTTTTTAATGTGTTTATCCATTTATTTTAGCTGATTTTTAATTAAGTAATGGGGGTTGAGGACTTCGCCCTAAATAAATGATTCTGGCTATTAAGATGTTTATTTAATTTTTTGATGACATACAATTTTAATAACATTTCTTTCAATCGTCAGAAGTTTGTATCTTGTAGTTATATCAAAATAGATTTTTATTTTAAGTAGTCCCTATTTTATTCCTTTGATTATTTTTACCCTTTTTACCATCATTTGCCTGCAATACTTCTGTTAAAGCTTATTTTAATCTTATATGTTGAACCAACAAAAAGTTCTAATGTGGCTGAAAATGTATGTCACACACATTTTCACAGATTCCTTTATTATTTGCTAAAAGCTGTTAGGTTTGGCTGCTTTTCTGCACTGCGTGACTCGGTCATCAGGCTCGTGATCATAGAGGCCCCTACTACTGATTCTATATGTGTGTCTGTGTGTACATGTGCTTAAGTAGAGGACACACGGCAGTGGGAGGTGTCCATAGCAAGAACACCCTGCTGACAGCTGTAGACAGGTAGGAAACCTTACAATAACATCACCCTGGAGTTCAGGAAGGAGGTGTGTAAGATGGAGAGCGGATGTTCCTGTTTGACGTCCATCTATGCATCAGTAAGGTCCAGTAATCAGGGCGAGCATGCCATTTTATCACAGGTAAATACATTTTGGACTATCACTGCAAGAGCAGAAACACTAATAGATTATGATATAGTCTATTCTTGTTGCTGAGCCTCTTGGTCCCTTTTCCTGGGATTTTCTTAGATTATTTTAAGCAAATATTTTTGAAAATATTCATTTTTTGGATGTTTTTTTTTTTTTTGGCCTTAAAAAAACACAAGTTTAGTGTTGTTTTGTTTTCTGGAGACCTTGCTTTCTGGAGACCTTGCTTCTGCAGCGCTTATTTGTTTGGCTGTTTATCAAAAATATACTGTATGATCCATCCAAGTAGATATGCTGTGGAGATATAAAGGCTGATGCAACTTTCTTTTTGTCCTGAAAAGTTTGAGTTTGAAATAACGTCACAGCAGAGTTGTGAATATTCTGACTTTGTCCTTATATTTGCTGTTGCACCACCTGTCAAATAATCTAGGAACCTCATCAGTAACAGTCCAATCAGCGATGGCCGTTTGTTTCAAAGAGAAACACTCCTTATCTGCATAAGCAGAAGCCAGACAACAATATTTGGGATTTTGCATTATGAAAGCATAGCAGAAATGGTTAGTTCTGTTAAAAGATACAGTAAATGGTTAAATGAATGGGTGAAGTCATTTTTTCTATCCCCAAAACCAAAAATGAGTCTTGCCTTGAGATAATCTCACTAACATGATTTGGAAAGAAAATTGCCTTGTCTTTTTTTCTTGCAGATTTGGTGATCAGGCAAAAAGCCTCACAAAATGCATCAGGTAATGTTGTGCGTCATTGTGTTACCTTAAAAACTTCTGCACATTACATTGGTGCATGGCTGTATGATGGGTTCAATGTTGCAGCAGCATCGTCGGAGGAAGGAATTTCCCCTGCAACCAGAGGGTTGTCAGTTTAAGCCCCGGTGTCGTTGGGCAATACACTTAACCCGCACTTCACCTGCCTACTGATAGTGGTCAGAGAGCCTGGTGGCACCAGTGGACGGCAGCCTCATTTCTGTCAGTGAGCCCCAGGACAGTTGTGGCTACAATGTAGCTTGCCACCATCAGTATGTGAGTGTGTGCTTGAATGGGTGAATGTAGTCTGAAGTCCTTCGACTTGAAAAAGCACTGTATAAGTGCAGGCCATTTCCTATTTTATTAAAACTGCTTAAATTAAAACTAGTCTAACCATGACTCTTCCTTTATTCCCTGCTGCTGAGGACCCTTCACTTGTCCACCTTCCTTCAAGCCAGCCAGCTTTTTGGTTTAAATTTGTACTGCATTACAGGAGGCAATAGTTCCCATTCAAAAACGCTCAATCAAACTCCAATGATTCACATCCGGACTAAAGAGAAAACTTAAAAGTATCTCTCAGAAGTGGCTTTTTTTTATTAACTCTGACTCTAAATCTGCTCAACAAATGTGCACAGGACATATACAACCCTGTACTGTCGCTCATTGGGGTTTTATGGCAAGATAAAAGAAAACCAAGGAGGTTATCTCCCATTCAGCTGACATTCCAAGTCAGAAGATGGTGTTGACTACAGCACACTAATTGAAGACATATTTGAAAGATGTATCAATGGGTGCCAAATATGCTTTGACTCACCCTGCAATCCTGGTGCAAGAGAGACCTCCAGTGGCTAGGTTCCCCCTTAGGCCTGTTAAAAGAGGAGGAACAAGAAAAAAAAAGACATTTGAGTGTCTAGAAATGTTAGATTTAGAACTTTAACAGTATCCTACTAGCATTGGTAGTGTCTTGTTAAAATCATAGTATGTATCAATAGATCACTGAGCAAGTTATAAAATATTAATTATAGTATTTCACCTTATTTTTGGAAATGATTGTGCAGTTGCTGTTGTCTCTGTGTGTTATGTGTTTTATGTCCTATCAAGTAAGTTTTTTTACATTGAGTTTTAAAGTAAATAAAAGGAAAACTGCTTCATCAAAATGTCCCCAAAACAGCAGCAGTTCGGCTATTGCATTAAAAAGTAAGCAGGGAAAAAACAAAGGGAATCAAGGGATAGTTTCTGAAAAAAGCAAAAACTATTTCTGGGATCCTCTGTAATCTCCCATCTCTTAGCTTTAAAGTTACCCAATAAAAAATCTGGATTCCTGACAGAGAGGAAGTTATCATTAAAAAAAGAGGAGAGATGGAAAAAGGAAGAAAAAAAAGCCCTGGCACACAAAAGGCATTTTAGGTCTGAGAGAAAATAGATTGCAGCTGCTGAAGCCAAAACCTGAAGAGGAAATGTTTACAACCCCGTGCACCCTGCATATCTCAGCTGTTGCCAGCAGCAGAACCTGAAATCTTGTTGGCTTTAGGTTTGGAGAAAATGTAATTTTGACCATGACAAATATAATGAGACACAAAGGATGCTGTCATTATATCAGATCTGAATCATCACTGTCACTACTGACGGCATAGCCAGGCTCTTTGGAAATTTGTTTATTTGTCAAAGGTAAGCCATATATTATGGGTTTTTTATGGTGAAAAGAGAGTGGTGGGTATAAAGCAGTGACATTTCTCTTCAGAGGCTTTAAATCTTTGTGTCTCTAAGATTTTGATTTGACAACATTAAGGAAGTCTAGAGTAATAAATGCAATAAGCAGAACTTTTACTTCATTCTGTCAGTCCTAAATGAAACAAGAGGTTCTTAAGAAATTGGAAAAGTCTAAAAGCAGGGATCGTTGAACCATCCATACATTCTTTGATCTAAATTATTGGATAGGACATCATGTGTGAAACACAGGAGCAGAATGCTATATCACTGCTACGGGGTGGCTTGAATGTAATATCTAATTGACATGAGTTGTTATATGTGAAAACTTGAGGAAAAGTAAAACTATACACACTAGTATGCCATGATAAGTAGTAGAATTTAAAGTAATAAAACAAACTATATTAAGTGGTTTAATGGACGTTTAGTAAAATGTCATATTATGAGGAATTCAACATTCGTACTTAATAGTTTATAATCCCCAGGATATAGTTTATCCTGGAATCAGCATTTTTGGAAACTAGTGTTTATGTCTTAGCTGCTCTATTATGAACAAATAGTATCACCCCCAAAGATGGACGCAAGGGGGTGTCTATCTTCAGACTGGAAGCTTCAGAAACCCTTCATGGATTGCTAATTTTAAAAGGTCTAGAATTGGAGCATTTGGTTCCACCTCTTGTTAATAATTTAGCCCGGCAGGTCAAGGACAACACCAGAAAATATCTTGCTGCCGCCTGCGTCCAGCCTTTCTCAGAAGGTCAGAGTCAAATGACTCTTCTTTTATTAGCCTATAGCATAGATATTTCACCATCAAGGTAGAATACCAACAAACTATGATACAAAAATCATAATTAGGATACTTGAGCTGTTAAAATCTACTGCCAGCATTTTATTTTTAATTTTTTTATTCTGACCACTTTTATAACAGATGCATTCATTTTAACCATTAGGACAGCATGGTTTTATCGACTAGACAATGAAAGCACAAAGCCCTTGTGTGTGAATGTCCCTGCCTACAGTATAGTGCCTAATAGGGGAACTTCTATCCCACAAATATCAATGCTTCCGTGTATATCAGTCCATCCATCCTTAAATTATACTTTTTATACGTGTTCACTGAAATTCAACAAACATCTGCAATTCAAACGAATACATTGTAAAGGCTTATATGTTTCTGAATAGACTACATATGCTGTCTACAAGGAGATGTTATGGATTTGTACTGAAAATAAGACATTTTAAATGGAAAATAATATAATCTGGCTTCTAAATTGTTACTTACAACATAACATGAACAATAGAAATCTGATACTATTTCAGTTGCTCTGGGTTGATATCTAATGGGAATCCTTCAATTTTTGGCAGGACTGAAAACTTGAAGCTTTATCCACATGATTTATAGAGTGCTTAAAAAAAAAGGATTCAAGAATCCAATCTCAAAGAGTTCATTTAAAAGCTCAAACCAAACGATGGCTTTCCCCTCCATTTGCCAGGTCAACTATTTATCGAAATTTAGTAGGGAAACTGGCAATGTTGCATATGTAATAACAGGGATACGGCTACCTTGATTGTCACTCAATATACCCGTCCAGCATAAACATTCAAAGTGGAAAGAATATTTCTCAGCATAAAATACATCTGTCTTGCAGCCTGTTGGCGTTAGCGTTCATGCTACAATAAAGACAGGCTGTTTTCAGATGCAAAAACAACATTGTCTCTGCGCTTCACCTGTGTGCTCGATGGTCCGAACGGCTTCAGCAGACGTCTGGGGCTCATCCCTCTCACCACACATCATGAATCACCCCTCAGTGACCCCCTCGGGTTGTAAAATAAGCTGCCACCACATGCCAGGCAGGGGTCAGCCCTGTGTCAACATCTTGCCTCCGTCAGGACTCAAATGCACACTTGTTTGCATTTCTCAACCAGGGCTTGTCATTGCTGAACCACATATTTTACAGTGCCTTGCTAAATAATTCACATGCCTTGAACTTTTTTAAAATTTTTCATGTTACAACCAGACAATATATTTCATCAGGGTGAACTTATACCACGCAGTGCAGGTAAGGTAAACACTTCTCAAAATGATGACACTAAGTATGGCATGTATTTCTATTAGTTTGGCCCTCTACTATGATAGCTAAAAATTAAATACTGCCTAAAGTATTTTTTTAAACAACCAAATTAATGAAAAGAATCAGTCCGTGGATATTCTAAACCTTTCGGCCTGTGACCCCAAAAATAACTGGTGACCCTCTAAAAATTGATATAAGTACTTTACACTTCAGGGTTTATACATGAATGAGTAACTCTTATTTAATGCTTTTTAATGTTCTTTTAATGCTCTTAGAAATAATGGCATCAACAAATACCTATGACTTATATATATATATATATATATATATATATATATATATATATATATATATATATATATATNCACAGTTATCAAATTTGATGAATATTAATGCCAATTAAGACCTTAATTTAAAAAATAATTTTTTAATGAGTTTTATTGACCCGCTGAAACCCTGCACTTTATTGATTTTCTACATGTAAGGAGAAGTAATTCTTAAAATTATTACATTTTTCAAAAAAATGTTTAATTAATAATGCATCCTCTTTAAAAGTATTTTTTATTTTTTAATTAAATATTTAAATGTGTCATTGTAAATTTTATTAGTAAGAAATAAAATAAAATTTAAATCATGTAGTAGATCGATAAATAAAAATTGCAACTACTTATTTCAGTATATATTCATAAATTTAAAAAAAAAATACGTATTTAGATATATGTATTTCTTGATATAATTTGGGACTCCATATACGTCAGGAATGACATAGCAATCATTTTTAAAACCATCTCGCAACTCACTCATACTGTACACACACAAACACACCCCCAATTTTCTTGACACCCTGGGGGGTCCCGACCTCTACTTTGGGAAGCCCTAATCTAGTTTGATAGGGAACATTAGTTAGCAACCAGCATTGTAAAGGTCACAGGAGAGACGTTAACGCTTTAGGCTACATGGATAACAACTAACTGAATGACACAAAAACATACCATTGCAAATAACCTGAACTCACAATCTCTACTCTACATCATGGTGACAGAGTGGGGATGTTTTATTTTACAAGGGATGGAGATGGTGGCAAGACTTTACATACAGATTGTGGAGCTATAAACAAGACAAAACCTGCAGTATACCAGAAAAGGCTTGGGGTGGGAATGGACAAATTCAATGAATACCTTTGCAAGGCAATGCACATTAAGCTCAAGTCCAGAATCGTAAAAGGGTCCTGAAGCCAAAGAGAGGCTGGAGGTTCAGTGAGTATGAGCCTCATAAGAGCTACAACAAATTTGAACAAAAAATACATCTAAACTGTTCAGCAAATATGGAGTGACACAAAGTTGGTTTTAAAAGAAACTGAATGCTGTAGAAGGAGCTTGAGATATTTTTTAGTCATGGCTGTCTTCTATAAAGCTGTTAAACTACTGTTGAATTATTTAAGCCTCTCTACTCAACAAACAAAGTCTTAGTTTATAAAAGAGAATCAACAATCCAAAGACTAACATCAAAAAG